ATATATATATATATATATATATATATATATATATATATATATATATATATATATATATATATATATCCACGACATGATATTAAATTAGTTTTTTGAGGTAGGTAAGATTTTTTAGGCCTTAAATTTGAGCACACATTGTTTTTGTCACGATTTTTTTATAAAACATTAAATTCAAAATCAACTAAATCGAAAACTAAAATGCTTTTATTTTTATTTTTTTAATACAAGTAAAATCTATATGCATTATGAAAATTCAAAAAAAGATCTAAACATATTGATTTAGATACCAAAATAAATAATAATAATTAAACATTTTATCTTAATTTAAAAAAACAATCGGACTAAAGTTAAGTATATATTTCAATTAATATATTAAAACAATAATTTACCAAAAAAAAACCATAAAAAAAGCATTTCAATATTTTGCAGATCTACCTTTCTTAAATAAGGATTGAAGAAGGCAATTATCTAAAATTTCAATTTTCTATCAGCATTAAGTCAACCTTCAAATAATTAATAGCATTTAAGTCCTGCATAATTCATGTAGGCCCAAAAGTCTACACTGCCATTACCTTGCTTGGTTGGTTTTCATGTACAATTCAAATCAAATTACTCTTGAGGTGATCGCCATAGCAGAACACGAAGCAATAACATATTTTTGCATATCTACCTCAACATTCATTTTGTCTGAGAATATAACATTTCACCACTTGCTGTCGTGTTTCATCAAGCAAATTAATTTTATTAATTAAAAACGTTTATCTCATTGCGTTGCCCACCAGATTATCCAGATCCATTATGTCATCTGTTTCAGTATAAGGTTTTCAAATATGTGAATATTCAATATTTACCTTATTGGCTATTTGACGAGGAGATAATACTTGGTTTTAAATAAAAATAGATTTGTAACATGTTTTTTCAGAGAATCTCAACCATGATTTTTGAGTTTCATGCTGTATTACTTCACTCATTATGAGGCTTTTTCAATATCTAATTTCTTTGTGTTTTCATCAGTACCATTTCAAAATTATAAATTTAGAGTTATTTATTAAGCTAATGAAAATCAAATTAAATTATTAAAAAAAATTACAAAAAAATTATTAAAAAAAATATTACATTAATTTTAAAAATAAAGCAGTAAGCATTAATTTTTAACGAACAAAAAAAATTTAAAAAAATATAGTCGATGTTATAAAGTTACATATAATTAGGGATACAAATGAAATTTTATGGTAACAACTTGTCCATTAAATAAAAAACACGATACTTATCAATTAGAAATAATAAAATATTTAAAAAGCTAACTAGTTTTTAAAGTAATTTTAAGCAAACAGGATATATAAGTAAGAATGCTCTAATTAATGGCCAATGGTGTATGTATCATATATATATATATATATATATATATATATATATATATATATATATATATATATATATATATATATATATATATATATATATATTATATATATATATATATATATATATATATATATATATATATATATATATATATATATATATATATATATATATACTGTATTGTATTACATAGTATACTATGCTTGGACATATATTATTATTTTTAATATTTTATTATTTTTCAGAGTTTGATTTGTATGCATTAATTGTGTTTGCATACGATTGTTGTAATCATGTTGTAATATAATATGCACACAAATTTATTGGATACAAATTGTATATAATATATAGTTAAATGATTATGATATATTATAAAAACTATATTTTATAGTTTATATTACCTATATTATAAAAACAAATATAAATTAAATGCTATATAAACTATGTAATATAATACATTTATATTTAACTTATATATAAATATTTTATCTTACATACTTTATAAGTAACTTGTGAACTTTTTAGCCTTTTTTTTTTTTTCATTTATAGTATAGTCATTCACATATAATTATATATTATAATTTATATTATAATCATTCACATATAATTATATATATACTAATAATAATAATAATATATATATATATATATATATATATATATATATATATATATATATATATATATATATATATATATATATATATATATATATATATATATATATATTAGCTATATACTTTAATATAAATGTATCATACATCTACAAAAGTAGTGTTGGGTGAATTCTATTTTTGTTCAGAAAAAAATTGAATACTCAGATCTGAAAACAATTTCAAATTAAGAAAAGACAATTCGAAATAAAAAAGTAAAAATTATTAAATTGTATCGCTCAGATTTTTAGAAAAACAGTTTTGAAAATGTAAACAAATCACGCTTTTAACAGTCAGATAAATGTAGCAGAGAATCACAGTTTTTTATATATTTAAACATCTTTATATTGTTTTTATCATTTTTGAATCAACAATTCAATTATTTTTATTATTATTTCATTCTATCAAAAATATGCAAATAATAACTACTAAGTAAAACTTTAAAAATATTGTTGCTACTCAGAAAAAATTTTGGTATCTAAAGGCCGTCACCATCTTTAAAATTATAATATTTGAATTTGACACTGCGCTTGCGTATAATAACTTTCCACATCTAAACGACCGTGGTTGGATAACTAAAGGAATTTAAAAATCCTCAAAAATAAAGCAATTTTTGAGGATTTTTTAATTTCTTTTATGTTAAAAATCTAAAAATAAATTGTATAAGCATAAAATTACCTACAGAGCCGATTAAAAAAAGCTAAAGCAAACTTAGTATTCTAACTTGCTTAAGAAGCAGAAATATGGTTTAATTGCGGCAAACAAGGAAATAAATTACTGGTAAACAAAGGACTATTACAAATGTCGAATGCATTGAAAATGGAAAATAAATTCGTTAACGACCTTAATAAAATCACCGTCGAAATAAAAAAGTTTTTAACAATAGGTAAAAGCCTATCCAAAAAGATTCTTTAAGTAGATAATAACTTTAGGTATATAATAACTTTAAGTAGATAATAACTCCGCTGATGAACTTATATCTTCAACAAACTTAACTCAGATTTTTCGATCTAACTCGACTAAAATCTAATTAAGTCTTAATAAAAACCTGACTTACAAATTTAACTAATGAATTCAAAGTAACGTTTGAAGCATTAAAAAGAAATAAAGAAACTCGACGTGATGGTATAAAAAGGAGTATTTAATTGACTCCTTTGATGTGATAAAAGATATCTTCTACAAAATTTCTAAAGCATCTTTTACTCAAGGATGTTTTTTTAGATAGTTTAAAAATCTCTTATTATTAAAACAAGTGAATATAACTACATTCAAACATAACAAACTATTGTCTTAACTCAGTTCTAACGGTCTTCTTAACAATATTAGAAAGAGTAATGGAAGCCAGAACACTTATCTTACTGACTATAAACTTCTTAAGAAAGATCTTTATTAAAAAAAAAATTGGTTTTCAGAGAAACAGTTCTACTAAACACGTTATTCTTCAAGTAACGCACAGTACTGTCGATTCCTCTAAGAATTTTAAATTTACTCTAGACATTCAATAGCTCGTCAAAAGGTTTGATAGTATAAATCAGCATATTCTATTGAAAAAGCTAGAGATTTATGGTATCAGATATCATACCCTAAAATGCTTCAAAAGCAATTTTAGTAACCGTAAACAAGTTGTTTATTACAAGTAATCTAAATGATCTTTATAAAGCTTTTCATTTAACGACTATGATTTTTGCGGATGATAAAAATAGTTTTTAATAATATGACTGATGAACTGATAAACTAAAAAAATTATTACACTAGCTTTTTAAAAAAAATAGATTGTCTTTAAATGTCCATAAAACAAAATGAATGCTTATTAATCCAACCCCTAATAAAAAGAAAATTTAAAATATATTATATAATATCAATACAATCCTTAAACAAAAATAAGTTACAATATTCCTTGGTGTCACGATAGATAAAAACTTTTCTTTGAGACAACAAACTGATTATATTTTAGGAGATTACAAAAGGCATTAAAATTTTATATAAAGTTAAATAAACATCAATTAACATAATATAGTTATGCTATTTGTTTATTTACTCAATATAAATTTAGCAAATATAAAAAAGGGAAGCGCTCATAAAACCAAAATTTACAATATATAACCGAATCACAAAATATTCTATTAATTATATCAGTGCTTTTCGGTAAAAAATCAAAAGAAAAAAAAAGAAGCGCTTTTTAGTTTATTTTCAACGCTTTCTATCTAAACATGAGTTCCCTTAAATTTGAAAACATCAGTGAAGTTTTAAAGAATTAACAAAAAAAAAAAGTAATAACTTTTTAAAAATGTAGTTAAAATAAATTAAGCCTATGCATTATTAAAAATAGACCATGCGTTGTTAAAAATGTATTTGAAGCCATTAATTTAACTCTTTGAATTTAAAAAATGCAAACCAAAACTGGTTTCTGTGCGTGGTATGGTAGCATAAGTTTGTATTTTTGTTTGTTTACCTTCTCTGTGAGCTGAACTTTTTTAAATAGGGGAATGATTTGTTTTGAGAATACTTTTAAGGTCAAATTTTGGAGTATTTGGTTTCATTATAAAATTCAAATTAAATGTTTGCACTTTAGAGTAAATTATGTAAACCTTTTTAGAAGATGTTTAGAAGATGTTATATCTAGACTTCTAATTCGGATATTCTATAAAACTTTAATGCCAAAATTATAAGTTAAACAACGTTTTCATGGCCAATCAACTATGAAGCGTTTTAGTAAAGCTATTTAAAAATTTCACATTAAAATGCCAATTTTACAAATTTGATAGTAACTTAAAGTAAGGGTATAAAATATTGCCATTTTGATTCACCAATTCGAAACGTATAAAAAACGTGCATTACACTTAGGAAGAATATCTTTAAAAACCAAACAACGTTTTGTTCGGAACTAGTTTGTTAATAATTAATGAGATAATTTGCATTTATAATTGTTTAAAATCATCGAAGCGTGACGTTTGCGAAACCTTCAAATTTTTTTGGAACTTTCGAAAGCTAATAGAGCCGATTTATAAATGTATACTTTTTTTGTTTATTTTTAGAATCAGATGGAGTTGAATTGTGATTTTAATGTGAAATAATGGTGGATTATGAATATCGTTATTGTTTTGGTGCAAATAGTTTGCCTACATGAGGTTTTAAGCTCTTTTAGCAATTTGCATAAAACTGATGACAGTCACCGCATTACACATAGATATGAATCCGGTAGTAAATATATTCCGTTGATTCGAAAAAATTATTTTTCCCCCCTTCTCAAATCTAACAGCAATAAACAAAAAAATAAACGCTGGGTCGACGTTGATGAAGATGATGCCAACGCAGCTAATGCGAACCGTCAAAAAACACCTTCCGAGCCAAATTTGCCCGATTTTTTACCTCAAAATTCAAACAAACCTACCTCTATCCAAACCTCCGATTTATCATTAAATGATTTCTCAAGTTTGTCAAATTTGGTTGGAGATTTTGATAAAGGTTTAACAAATAAGTTCAAGTCAGTAAACGATATAACAAATTTGGAGTCAGCAGCTCTAGAACAGAGTCAGCAACAATCTCCAGTTATACAACCATTAGCAGCACTTTCTCCAAACGAACAAGTAGTTGGAGAACCAATTCCAGTCACAAACAACCCTTTTTTTATGTCAGAACTAAATCATATGGATCAAAGTCATGGTACTGAAGTTGGTATTCCTTTGGAAGCATTTCATCCGAATATCATGCATTTACAGCACCAAGCAAATTATCAAATTGATATGCCCAATCAAGCGTTTCATTCCTCTGATCCAAGCACAGAAGTTATGATACCTCAATCCAATATTATATATAGTCCAAATGAACATCGAGAAGAGGGCCCTATTCATAAGCAAGAAGATGGTGCGCCAATTGAAAAGTTTTTACCGGGTAAAAGTTTATATTTAAGACCCATCCGAATTATTCATAGACAACCACATAGATTATTTCAACATAGACATGTGTTTCACAAGCCGAGAATTATTGTGATTAGACGAAGACATCGATATCATCCAAACGGTAAGTTTAGGTAAATAGATTTTTTATTTATTTATTTTATTTTACCAAATAAATAATTTAGTTACTAATAGTGGGGGTCCATAATCATCCTTTTTTAGATTTTTTTAAAGTTTAACCAATTTTTCTTAATTAGTTTTTCATGCTGATTCTGAAAACCATAATCATTTTTTTTTCATTTTAATTATTTAGTCTTCTACTTCGATTTTAATAAAAGTGAATATATTGACAAAAAAAGATTTTGTTAAAAATAGATGAAATTATTATTATCATTAAATATAAGAAAAGTAGAAAAGTAGAAATCTTTTTCTGTTTTATTTATCAATAATATACCCTATGATTTATAAGTAACAAAAAAATTAAGCATTATATATGAAAATAATTCATACAGTTTGTTATTTACTATTGAAAATGGAAAATAACTATGAGTCATCGTATGTGATAGAGATTGCTGTGGGAACTTTCCATGTAGAACATCTAGGTTATGAGCGTGTTCTTTGGTAGACTTAAGATGGAGGTTTGTATTTTTTTATCAACAATAATGTATTTAAACAGAATAGACCTCCGCGACATTGACCTACATTGTATCCGTAAAATAAAGAACCTCATTTTTCGAACTTTTTTTCATTTTAACATATCTTTATCTATTTCAATAATGTCTAGTTCACAGCTAAATGTGATTGCCTGATGTAAAGTTTGCTGCTCTTCCATTGTTATCCATTTGTTTTTGTAGCTGGTTTCAACTATATTCCATAGTTTCAACGACAAATAATTGGACAATAATTTTCCAAAATATTTTTAAACTACGCGAACCTTCATTTTTTTTATATGGTTTAAATAATTAAGAATACATCTACTGTTGAAATTAAATGGGTTTTTTTCAAAGCTTTCCAACTGCAACAACTTAATTAGAAAGTTAATACTAATCATATTCCATCATCAACCAAACACTTCTACTGACTGGCACTTTAAAAGAAGACTTATTCTTGACTTCATTTAAGAAAAGTGAAAAAAAAAAATGAAATCTTGAATGCAGGGCGGCGCGAGTAGATGTCACGTGGGTGGGGTGGGGGGGGTGCCATTACAACTTTTGCCCACTGAAAAAAAAAAAAAAAAGGTCCTCGTTTTCCAAAATTTGCCGACTGCCATTACGACATTTGCTGACTGTCTAACCTATATCGAAAGGGTCGACATTCCGACTAACTAGTCTAAAAGGGTCTGATTTGCCCCCAAACAACCCCCCACACCCCCTATCGCGCCGACCTTGCTTGAATGGCCTTCTTGATAGCTTGAATAACGTTTAAAGATAAATAATAAGATGGAAATTAAGATATTTTGAAGCAATCTGTCTTTTTGATTACTTAAAACGTTTTGTTTAGAAAGAGACTTCAAATAAAACTTTTTTTTTCTAACACGCTACGATCAAAAATCAAATTTATCCAATCAAAAATTGAATAGTATAAATTTGAAAGAAAAGTTGCGTAACTTTATACGCAAAGAAACCTTTGCAAAGACTTTAATTTTTTATATCTTTAAATATTTTAAATAGAAGTAGAAGGTCAACCATAAAAAATTAGCAAAAACTGAATTGTTTTTTAAACTTTTCTCAAAGAATAACTGGTTAAACAAGAAATATAGAATTTTGGACCCCCTCCCTATTACTAAATGCGTCGACTTTATTTAAAATACAAGACGTGTTTTAGACTAAACAACGTATTAAAACATGATAAATGTCCTGCTTTAGACGCCCAAAACACGTCTCATTTACTGGGCCGATAGCTTGGGTATATGAACATTTTCGGCTAAATTAGGTAACAAACACAAATATCAAAAAATCATTTTAAGGATAATTTTTGTTTTATTTTGTTTGTGCAATCTAGAACTAAAAAGATCAAAACTTTTTTTTCCAGGTTTGCAATTTTATAAAATTGCAAACCTGGAAAAACAAAGATTAAATTTAATCTTTAAATTTGTATTTATAATTAGAATTATAAATTTTAATCTTTACATCATTTTTGGGAAAATTGGGTTTTTCTATGCACCGTCTTTTTCATTGACTCTCTTTTTTTTAATCAGAAAACTAAATTTACAACTCTTTTTTTAATTGCTTCGTGCCCAATTTTTGTGCCCCTTTTTTTCATGTGCAACAATGTATGATAGAAGTGTATGGTGAAAGTGTTTTTGAGTTAAGAACACAAAGAAGAACACAGTAAAAAATTTTATTTTTACAGATTTAGCAGTATTCTCCTTATTTTGTATGAATAAATAGTTGTTTGTGTCCATATGTGTTCATTAACAAAAGATATGAATACAAATAATGAAATATTAACTACTTTGTAAGAAATTTTTTTTTTGATTAAACAAAGATCTATGTGCTAAACATTTTATATTAGAAATAAACAGATCATTTTAAATATTTGTCTTCGCTTCAAAATCCATTGACTTATCACATGTCAAGGTCAAATTTAAATATCTTAAGCTCTTCTTTCTATAAACACAAAAAGCTGACCACTTACAAACCATACCTCAAAAAGCAAAAGTTTCAAATATTAAAGAAAAACTACTGTTTATAAAGTGTCTTGTTAGTATTTAGTATTTAAAGGTAGAACAAATAAAATTTATTTATTTAATTTTTATTTTGCACGTTTCATTTTTTAAATAGGAGATCTTGCTGCGAATTTATTTATCTTATTTTTTAAGTTTGTCTGTAAGTCATTTAACTTCTATATAAACTAAATACTTTTTTGAAAATCATTTTCTTGTTATACAAATATTTCTGTTTAATTAGTTTGATTGAAAAGTTAAAATTAAAATTTTTTTATTCCACCTGATGATGCTGACCGCTATAGGTCAGCATCATCAGTATTTAGTTTCAGAATGTTTTAATTTTTTTAATAAGAATTAAAACATTCTGAACGTTTTTACTTTTATTTTTTCACTTTACATACATTTGACATTGAGGAGTGTTGCTAATGTAAAATTTATAGTTTGTTGAGAGAAGTTCTCAATACTAATTTTCTCTTGAAAATCATTTAGTTACAGTTAGAGTTTGCAAACTTTATTTGTAATTGCAAAAACAAATTTTGATTCAGTTGAAACATTTGGATTTTTTAAAATTTTATTGTAAAAAATTGTAATACATCAACATAATTTAATATTGAGTACATTGCATAATTATTAAAATAATTAGGCTTGAAAAAACAAAATAAAAATACTAAAATTAACAAAACAAATTTTTTAAGAATAATATTAAATAATTTTAAAAATGAACTTTTTTTCTAGATCGGTCTGATGAAATTTCACAACAACAATTGATTTGTGGTGAAAGCGACTGCAAAAACGGAGGCTCTTGTAACATTGTCAACAATCAAATCAAGTGTATATGCTTAAAGGGGTTTAAAGGAAATCGTTGTGAAGGTATTTAATCAAATTAAACAAACAAGTTTTTTATACTGATCAAAAGAATGTTAAAAATATTTTTATTATGGATTGAATTCAGGGATGTGAAACCAAAGGCTGGTAAGAACAAAAAACGTTATTAACAAAATATGGGGTTTAAAACTAAATAAAGAACATCTTAAATGTCTTTTTCGTTGTTTTTTGTAAAAAATCAAGAATAAAAAAATTATGTTTTTGAAAAAATTTATGAGAAAAAAGCTTAAGAGCTGGCTATCTTGAATACTCCCTTCCCTTTTATTTTATAACTAATCTTTCTTCCATACCTGCATACCTCTCTCCCATACCTGTATAAAGAATAATAAATAGCTTAAAGGGTCATGAAGTTTTAAATGTTCCATAAAACATAAATTTATTCATTTGCTACAAGATTTTAGTATTTGCAGTAAAACTACAAGTATCATTTATTTACAATTATTTGCTTTATCAATGTCTTAGTATTTCTTAATATATTTTTTTTAAAATAATGCCAATTTTTTGTTAATGCCAATGGTTTTTGCTTTGCCATATTTCAAGTCACAGGTTTATCTACTCTTACTAGTCAATAAAAGTTTATAATGTTTTTGTAATTAAATCATTGTTTTTCAACCTGTAATTACTAAATTATGATAAAGGTTTTTTTATGCTATAATAAAATATACATGCTTTTAAGTGAAATAATATACTATTTCAACAAAAATAATTATGTGCTCTTGTGAAGTCTGTTTTTAGAATATTGTAGCTTGGTTTCTTTCTGTTTTCAGAATGTTGTAGCTTGGTTTCTTTTTGTTTTCAGAAAGTTTTAGCTTAGTTTCTTTATTAAAATGTAAAATAAGTTTTATAAAGTAAAATAAATGTGAAATAACAATAATAGTTTATATTAATAATATAAAAATTATATTGCTGCTTAAATTTAAAAAAATTTTAAAACAAATTTTGGCACCTGAACCATAGTTGACATTAGATTTTTCTGACAACTTTTTCGCCTGTATGTTGTTGATTTGTGGATTCCATGTTGTTATATATATTGAAAACAAATATGATGAAAAGTGTAACAATTGTAAATAAGGTATTAAAATTTGAAAAATAATAATTTAGAAATCAGTAACTGCCATCCTGATCCTTGCAAAAATGGAGGAAAGTGTACTGAAACAGATGTTGGATTCACTTGTACATGCACTTCATCATTTTTTGGGGAAAGATGTGAAAGTAAGTTTTATTTAATATATGGTATATTTCACATTTTTATTGTTTCACATTTCATTTTTGTTTATACAATATTTCAATATTAAAATATTTCAACAATATTTTGTAAAAACATTTTTGCAAATGTTTACTCAAATTATTGTTTGTTTATTTAAATGATTGTTTATTCCAAGGCATACAATTGTTTATTAAACCTTGTATTCAAAGCAGGGTCTTCTTAATAGAAGGCCTCAACACCGTGCAGGAATTTTCTTGACAGAAGGCTGGTTTTAAAAAAGCTGTTTAAAGTTGTAAAACATTGGTTGCCATTTTCAAAGAAATTTAAAATAAATAATTTATGATGCCTTTAAAATGCTGCATACCAAACTGTTTCTTAAATTATGTCTTCAGATTGTAAAATATCTGTGTACAAATTTCCTCGTGAAGTATCTGAAAAAAACAAGTGGTTTATGGGTATTCCTTGCTCACACTAGACTTTAACAAAATATAGCATTGTTTGTAAATTACATTCGCCAGATGATGCTGAGTTTACTTTATATTGTGGTAAATTGAGACCAATTAATCCTCCACGAGTTTTTCCAAATATTTCTAAAAGTTGTCTATCCTCTCCACCACTAGAAATGAGAAAAACTTTATCATCTTCTTCAAAAAGGGGTATTGAAAAAGATGAGTTGGAAGAATATAAAATAATTGACAATTTAAAATTTAAAGATATTGAAAAATGCTTATCTACTGAAAATGATATAATTACTTACAAGCAAGACAATTCTATTTTTATCCAGTCTAAAGCTTTTTCCACAATTTTGGCTGATAGTTAATCAAAGTTAAATGTTTGAAGCATTTCATTATGGTTCAAAATGTACCCTTAAATATCTTTCGAAAAATAGCATAACTTCATTTAATACAAAATCAGCTTTAAATGATGCTGTTAGATATCTAAAAGTTAAAGAGGAGGATCATAAAACCCAAATATTATTTCAGCATCTAAATGTAATGGGAGATCATTCTGTTGGCTTTACTGTATATTAGCCTGATATATTAACCAGGGCTTTTAAATATTTTGCAACAAGTTGTTTCACTTCAATCACATTGTGTTATGATTATCAGTTGCCAAGTATTCGAACTTTAACTCTTATAACTTCAAAAATAAACTCTCAAGATGATTTGGTTTTTTTAAGTTCTCTACTATCAAACCTTGAGGAAAAAAAAAGAAATTGTGTTTTATCAATAGGTGAAGTTTATGTAAAAGCTGCTTTATTATATAAAAGTGAAAATATTTTTGGAAAAAATAAGTTGTTAATTATCCAGAGAAATTAGCTACCACTGTACTTTCATTTATGATATTATTATGGTGGACCTGAATTTTTAGCAAGAGTTTTACCAGTTAGTAATCTAACATCAGATTTATAACTAGACCGATGCAAATTAGTTGTTGGCACGATAGAAAGTTCTATACGTAATGGTAAAGTAGTTGCAATCATTGTAAAAGCTTTTTTTCTAAATTTTTTTAACTTTTTTGGAAAACTGTGAATGTTAAATATCCTGGTGCAAATCTTAGATTTAGGGATGAGTCCTGTAATGTAATCAGATCTTCAGATGACATTAATTTAAAAAAATTGCTTACTATTGCAACAATGGCTGAAAATGTGCAACTAACATCTGGTAAACGAGTTTGCCAGCTTACAAAAGATACAAGCAATTCACTTTCACATACTTGTCATGGCCTAATTGATTTGTCTTGCCATCTTTCATCAAGTGGAAACAAATATGTAATTTTAGGTTGGTTTTCTTCTGATCAGATAAAAAAATAATTTGGAAAATTATGTCAAGGATCAGGTGGTACTTATTTTATAACCGCTAATCAGTTATAGAAAAAGTACATATTCAACATGCTAAGCTGGTGCTGCAGCTAAATATTGATGTAGAAGGAAATGATGGCCATGACTGTCTTTTATGTTTTGAAGATTTAGATGATGGAGAAATTGATATTATTTACAATTTAGCAGATCTAGAAGATAGCATAAACATAGAAATTTTATATTCTTTTGTCTATATTGCTGGTTAAGTTCAAAAGTGTTTTACTAAAGAAATTGGAGATAATACAATTACATATTATGAAAAATACAGAACTTATTTAAATACTTTAAATAGGGGAGGAACTATTCCATCTGACACTTTATCTCAAGGGTCCTTGTTTTGCTATATATATATATTTTTTATTAGATGTGTGAGAGGTTTGCAATTTATTAATATAAGAATGTCCAAAGTATTGCAATAGTTGTTTGCAGTTGAGTTTTGTTGAAGTTAAAATTACTACGAGTAATTACCACCACGAGCTGTATAAAAATGTATAAAAAATATAGAATAAGAATTTACTTAATTTAGCTTGTGAAGATATCAGAGGAACATTTATGTTTTCTTGAATAGGTGATTTTGATGTGTGAAATAATTTTGAGGGTCTGTCAGATGTCTTTAATGGTCTTTTAATAGCATGGGATTTAAAGGTATTTGCTGAGCATTTGAAATTTTTAATATCAGGATATGTTCTTAAAACATCTAATCCAAAATATCTAATCAAATAAAAATGCTTATTTTAATAGTTGAAACAAAAGTAACAGTCAATTTTTACATAAATTTTTTAATAATTAAGGGGCTAGATGTTTAATGTTGTTAATTGATGAAAAAAATAAATCCTTAAAATTTCAAAGCATTATTCCAATATTTAGTAACAGCTCAATAAACTTTATTTCAAAGCATTATTTTAATATTTAGTAACAGCTCAATTTACTTTACTTTTCAACTATGTCCTAGTATTAAAAATAAGGTCTTTAAAAGTAGGTCAATTTAGCACTCAAAATAAACAAAATAATATATAGATTAAAAAAATAACAATCGTTTTATAAAAAAAAGTATATAAAAAAGTTTTTTTTTTTTCATCAAAAAACTTTTTTTATTTCTAGTTAAAAAACCATAGTTGTTTTGAAATTAAATCTGAAATAAAGTATGAAATTATTATCATTTTTTTTAAATTTTCATATAATTTTGCTACTTTTAAGACCTAACATGGCATAGTTTTGAAAAACTTTTTTTTTCAAAATATTAGGGACCTTTTAAAAAGTAAAATTAATTCAGCTTTTACTGAGTTAATTGAAACACATTATCAAAACTTGCAATTTTGAACTAATTTTCCTGACCATATTAAAATAAAGGATACCTCAATCTCTGTTAAAAGTTTCTTGCTAGAATGCACTAAATGTCTGAATGCACTCCAGCTGAACAAGAAATTTTCAACAAACTTAACAACTAAAAAAAAAAAGCTCAATGACTGTCTAAAATGTATCAACTGTCTCGACCAGCCCTTTTGATTTGTTATTTGTGGTGACTGAGTTAGTTGTATCAACACCGCCGCCGATAAAGTCCCCATCAACAGCACAGAGAAATGTCCATTTGGCAACTGGAAGACAGCATGTGAGGCTTCCTAACCAAGATTGGTTATCTATTTCTGCAATGCAATATTTACATCTTAATTCTTTAATTGTTATTAACCTCTTACCTTATAAACTTCTCAAATGCCTCTATACTAATCCAACCTCTAGTAAAAAATACAACGAACTCAACTTTCTACTTGTACAAAACTCAACTTTCTACTTGTACAAAACTCAACTTTCTACTTGTACTTTCTACTTGTACAAAATCTTGATGTACTCTGCTTTAGTGAGACTTGGTTTGACTCCTGGAGGAGTTTCTGTCTATAAAAAAAAACTCTCAGCGCTTTTGAATTCAACTAAGACAAAACTCTTTTTTTGAACAGGTAGTAATCAGGTATCAAATAAACATTGGTTCAGAACATATTCTTTTAGGTTGCATCTACAGGCCTCCAAACTCTGAAGCAGCTAGTAACAACATCATCAACAAGTCATTTTGTCAAACATCCATTCTAATTGAATAAAAAAACTTTTACAAAACTTCTTATCCTTGGAGACTTCAATTAACCTGAAATTAAATGGAACATTTCAGGTTGGTACTGGTACTAATCTACAGATAAGCATATTTCTTGAAACTGATCAAGACTGCCTACTTACTTAGTTTGCCTCAGAACCAACTTTCGGCAAATATCAACTTAACCTTGTGTTAGTAAATGATTCAACATATATCTACAATGTAAAAATTGTTTCTCTTTTTGGAACCATCAAAAAAACCCACATGCATGCTAAGCTTTACTTGGATTTGATAATACTGGAATATCATTCAATCAGCTTCGACAAAAGCTGTAAACAGAAACTTATGTTGCTGCATCATTTTATCATCATTTATTACTCTGACTCATTGTAAACTTATCCAGTTCAAACTTGACCCAGTATGGCTCAACAATGAAGTTAAACAAGCATCTAGAGATAAATTGGCTATTTTTTTCCAGCTTCAAGCAGTGCCATGTGATCAATAGCACCTTGCAAATTTGGCATTTAACAAAGCCTCACACAAGTCAAAAAACTTGATTATAAAGTTCTCTGCATGCACAATTAAAGAATCATAAGTAAGTGTAAGGATAATCCTTGACTTCTCTATGGCTTAATTAATAAAAAGTGATTGATGGATTCCATTCATACATCCTCTCGGAAGCTTGATCCGCACTACTTTTGCCTTTTTTGTTAATATGCAAAAAATATTTCACTATCAGTTATGTTTCTACTTGCTGAAAGCAAGCCAACATAAAACCTATTTTTTTAAAAGGTTGTAGGAAAAACCTAGCAAACTACGAATCTCATTCACTTCTGTTCCTTGCAAGGTAATGAAGCGCTTAATTTGTAGTTGTATGCTCAAACATATGATTGACTGCAACCTGCTTGACATCAATCAACATGGGTTTGTACCGGGAAAATCGTGCATGACGAACTTGATCAAAACCTTTGATATCATCTCCATAGTGCTTGAATATCATCTCGAAATTATCATGATTCTTTTTTATTTTGTTAAAGCTTTCGATAAGTAGTCACAGGCTTCTC